GTGACCTTTCTTTGCTTGTGTGACTGGCTGCCCTTGACCTTCAATATGCCAACAATAGTGCCATCCATGCACACACTGAGGAAAACCTCCAGACCACCTTGGATCTCTTGTGAGAAGCCTATTGAACTTTCGGCCCCTCTCAACCTGGTGAAGACCTGCTCTATCAGCCTGCCCTGGGGGGTCACAAATGTGACCCCCCTCTCCAAATTACCATTGTGGGAAAGACCCTTGAGGTAATCAAACACTTCCTCTACCTCAGTAGCCACCCTTCTCAGAGAGTGAACACTGATGAAGACATCCAGTACAGGATCCAATGCGCGAGTGCTTCCTTTGGGAAATTGCTTCAGCGTGTCTTTATTCATTGCAATCTCCAAAAAGACACCAAGATGTAGATCTACAATGCAATTATCATCCCCACTTGCCTCTACAGATGTGAAATGTAGGTGATCAACTGTCATCATCTCAAGAGCCTGGAGAGGTACCACCAACAATGCCTCCAGAGAATCCTCCACATCAAATGGGGATATCACCACACAAACACCAGCATCCTTGCTGTTACCAGCCTAGAGTTGGTGAGTCTCAAACACCAACTTCGCTGCACTGAATATTGCATGCGGATGCCCAACTCTCAACTCCCAAAACAAGTGCTCTACTCCTAGCTTAGTAACAGCCTGAGATCTCACAATGTCCAAAGGAAGTGCTACAAGGACACATTGAAAGTATACCTCAAGAAAACAGGTGCCAACATCAAGACTTGGAAAGAACTGCCTACTGACTGACTCCAATGGCACTGCAACCTCAACCAAGTGACTACCTGTTTCAGGGTAAAGTGCCTCACCCTCAAAGCAGAGAAAAGAGAATGGAGGAAGGAACAGGTGAGAAATCCTGGCCTATCGCCTACCTCCCACCTGTGAAAAAACCTGTTACTTCTGGAGACAGAACTGTGCCTCAAGGATTGTACTCCTCAAATCACCACAAGACCCATCAATGAGCCATGGTAGAGAACATCCTTGAATTGATGGATTGCCAGTGATGATGACTGGGTGGCATGTAGAACCACAATAATAATATTGTAAAGTGTGTACACACTGAGTACTGTGTGGGGTGTTCTTTAAATTCTTTGACAACAAAATTATGGTTTCAAAGTAAATTCAATAGACATTCATACTCTTAAGGGCATTTTGCATTATTCCATCCAGCAGGTGGCCAGACAACACAAGTAGACATTACAAATGCTGACTGCCTGCCCTTTGGGCAGGGGGCTGGACCCGAAGATCTTGAGAGGTCCCTTCCAGACCTAATGTCTATGAAATCTATGAGTGCAGGGAAGCCTAGGGCCTCCAATGGCAAGCTCACTTGCCTTTACACAAATGCCAGGAGCCTGGGCAACAAACAGGAGGAGCTGGCCCTACTTCTAAACAGTAATAATTACGATCTCATAGGGATAACAGAGATCTGGTGGGACTCCATCTATAACTGGACCACAGGTATAGATAGCTATACCCTGTACAGGAGAGATCATGTTACAAGAAAGGGTGGGGCTGTAGCTCTCTACATGAAGGAGCAGTACACTTCCCTATAGGCAAAGATTGGCAACCAAGAACGGTGACTTGAGATCCTCTGGGTAAAAATAAGGGGGGAATGTGGTGAAGGGAATATAATGGTAGGAGTCTACGACAAACCTCCTAATCACAAGCAAGAACTTGACCATGAGTTTGCCAGGGAACTGACTGAGGCTGCATGCTCTCGGTGCACGGTTGCCATGGGTAACTTTAATTACCCTGACATCTCATGGGAAAAGCACTCAGTCAAATTTGATCAGTTGCAATGCTTCCTCACAAGCATTGATGAGCTTTATTTGTCTCAAGAAGTCTATGGACTGACAAGGGGCAAGACACTGCTGGACCTGGTACTGGCCAAAGGGGGTGATCTAGTCAGCAACCTGAGAATCAAAGGGAAACTGGGAAACAGTGACTACAAGTTGATCACTTTCTCTATTCACCGCAGAGCTGGGAGGTCAGTCAGCAATACGGAAGTCCTCGACTTTAGGAAGGCTGACTTTCACAAGCTTAGAAGGCTAATTGTTCAGGCCCTGAGAAACCACAGTCTGGCAGAGAGGAATGTCTATGATGAAAGGTCACTCCTCAAGGATGCAATCCTTGAAGCACAAGGGAAGTCCATTCCAACCCCCAGAAAAAGTAGCAAAAGGGCTGGATGACCCCCTTGGCTCAATAGGGAACTCAAGGACCTCCTGCACCTAAAAAAATAAGCTTATAAAGGATGGAAGGCAAGAAACACCACTAAGGAGGAGTACTCAGCACTAGCCCATACCTGTAGGAAGCAAACAAGGAAAGTCAAGGCTGAAACTGAGCTCAAACTGGCCATTTAAATCAAGGACAGTAAAAAGTCCTTCTTCAAATATGTGGGAAGTTATAAAAAGAACAAGGGTAATATTGGACCCTTACTAAACCAAGTTGGGCAGCTGATAACCGACACCCAGGAAAAGCCAATCTCCTTAACGACTACTTCGTGTTGGTCTTCCATCAGCCCAGTGGGATCACCCTGCCTGACAAGAGGCAGGATCACCAGGGGAAGGGCAAGATTACGTCCATCATTATCATTGATCTTATGAGGGAACACCTTGAGAAGCTGAACATCCACAAATCAGCCGGTCCGGACAGACCACAACCAAGAGTGCTAAAGGACCTTGCTGACATTATAGCATAGCCTATGGCAAGGATATTCGAGAACTCATAGCACTTGGGCAAGGTGCCTGATGATTGGAAGAGAACCAATGTGGTGCCTATCTTCAGGAAAGGGAGAAGGGAAAATCCAGGGAACTACAGGCCTGTTAGCTTGACCTCAATCCTAAGGGGAGGTAATATTCTGAGAGATAGCCAACATGGCTTCGTGGTGGGTAGATCTTGCCTGACCAGCCTGATTTCCTTCTATGACCAGGTGACACATCACCTGGACAAAGGAGAAGAGGTGGATATCATATTTTTGGACTTCAAGAAAGCCTTTAACCTTGTGTCCTATGATGACCTCATGGAAAAATTGGGGAATTGTGGCCTAGACAATTTCACAGTCCAATGACTGAGGAACTGGCTCCATGGACAGACCCAGAGAGTGATAGTTGATTGAACTGAATCAACTTGGCACACTGTAACCAGTGGCATCCCCCAGGGCTCCATTTTCAGACCTGTACTCTTCACTATTTTATAAATGATCTGGACTCAGGTGTTATAAGCAGACTGGCTAAGTTTGCTGATGACACCAAACTATCCTCTAGGGTGAAGTGCAGTCACCCTAGAGGATAGGCTAGCAATCCAGGTCAACCTCAACAGGCTTACAAGGTCAGCGGATCAAAACCTGATGGCATTCAATGCCAAGAAATGCAAGGTGCTCCACCTTGGGAGAAAGAACCCACACCACACTTATAGACTCGCTAGCTAGCACCACATCTGAAAGAGACTTGGGGATCATGACTGGCCACAAGATGAATATGAGCCACCAGTGCGATGCTGCAGCCGGCAAAGCAAACAAAACTCTGGCCTGCATCTTCCGATGGATCTCAAACAAGACCCGGGAGGTCCAGAGGAGAGACACGCGAATGATTAGAGGACAAGAAAGCAGACCTTATGAGGAGAGGCTGAGAGACATGGGACTGGAAAAGCATAGGCTCAGGGGTGACTTAGTGGCAGCATATAAGTAAGTAAGGGGTGTGCACTGGGAACTGGGAAAATGTCTGTTCACCAGGGCACGCCAGGGAAAGACTAGGTCCAACGGTTCTAAACTCTTAGAAGATTATTTTAGGCTGGACATAAGGAAAAACTTCTTTACTGTCCAAGTCCCCAGGGCCTGGAACAGACTCCCTGCAGAGGTGGTGCAGGCACCTACTCTGAATTCCTTTAAGAAACACTTGGATGCCTATCTTGCTGGAATCATTTGATCCCTGCTGACTGCCTGCCCTTTGGGCAGGGGGCTGGACCCAATGATCTTGCAAGGTCCCTTCCAGCCCTAATGTTATGAAATCTACGAAATGATGTATACAAAATGATGTAAGTTCTGCCACTGCAAGTGAATAGTACCACCATAGCTGGAACTAAGGGTGGAGACAGAAGTTGTTTTGCATCTCATTTGTGCCTCCATAAAATTAATATATGTCATCTACAGGGATCTGGGGTTTCCGTTTCCCACAAAAGAACAGAAAAAAACCACAGATTTCCCCTTTTTATCAGAGAAAACATGGATTTCTCCTTTTAGCAGAGAAACCTGTGGATTCCCTGCTTTTGCAAGCAGCTCTGCAGGCTTGTTGAGCTCCAGCCTGCAAAAGCTGTTTACAAACAGGGTGGGGAACCCCAGCCCTGCCTGGAGCAGGAGGGGGAGCGCGGGGCCTGACACAGTGACTCAGCCAGGGCTCTGCTCAGTTCAGCTCAGCCTCACTCTTCTCCTGGAGCCTGAGGTAAGTGAGACTTGCAGGGGGATGGGGGCCCCTCTGTCAGGGCTCAGGGTTTATAGGTCATGGCTGGGGGCACCAGCAGGGCTGGGGGAGCCAGGAGCTGGCCCCGGCCCCACCCAAGGAGGCAGCAGCAGTGGGGGAACCGGCTGCATGGTGCTTCTGCTGCAGCTGCCTGCTGTTGGGAGCAGGGAGCTGCAGACTTGGGTCCCTGGCCCCATAGCCCTGGCTGTGGGGGCCCATCTGGCAGGGCTGGGGGGACAAGGGCTGTGGGTGGGAGGCAAGAGGCATGAGTAGGGCAGGGGGGCTGTTGTGGGGGCAGTGAGGGTCACCAACAGTATTGGGGGGTCTTTGGGGGCAGTGAGGGACACCAGCAGTACTTGGGGGGGGGGGCTTTGGGGGTAGTGAGAGTCACCAGCAGTGTTGGGAGTGCTGCAGGGGGCTTTTAATTTTAATAATGTATTTGGGGGTTTTGTCAGAGAATTTGCAATTTTTCATCAGAGAATTTGTGATTTTTTTTATCGGAGAAAACCAGGATCCCTCATCATCTGTCTAGTCTAATCAATTTTTTTGATCTGAATGGTATTTTGGTGCTTCAGTGTTTCTGAGATAGGCATTTTAATTCATAACATGATATTTCAAAGGTTGTTGAATCTACTTTATAGCTATTGGTATGTTCGTTGTAGGGCCGTTGTATCTGGATTGATCCCATTCAAAAGTCAGAGGAAGAAGAAGAAGAAGTTGAAGAAGAGGAGAAAGTAGATGAGTCAGATGAACCACAGCAAGAAGTGGGACCCCCTCTTTTAACCCCACTCTCTGAAGATACAGGTACAGACCACTCAGACTTTGAGTGATTGTATTTTCTGACAGTGAACATCTAAAGTTTTGGCAGTGGATGAGTGAAAACCTGGAGGTATAGTTTTGTGAGGCATCACAGCAGGTATTTGAGATTACCAGAAAGGCACATTAACTGTATAATTCAGGGGTGTCCAACTGTCACGGAGTGGGGTCTAGGAGCAGCCGTGATCTCGCTGGCACCCCCTGCCGTGCTAAGTAGGCGATCCAGCACCCTCTATTCTCGCCTGCCAAGTCTTTGATGAAGTATAATTTGATATATGGGAGGCTGCCTTCGATCCCCTTATACACAGTACTATGCTTACTGTTCCCCGTTCCGTTCAGAGTAACAAGGTACACCCCAGCCTTAGGGACTGCGTGTGCCTCCTACCTCCCCTTTAGCACGCCCCAAACCTCGCAGCTCTTCCGGACGTTATCAAGTCCAATTCCTACCTGCGCCTTGCCTGGCACCCCGGGGGCTTGTCACAAAACCGGCGCCCCTTCTCTGGCGCCCCTGGGGCTTGTCACAAAACCGGCGCCCCTCTAGCCGTTAGCCTTCTCGGGCTTACTAATAATACTCTTCCCAATTGGGTTCTTTTACCCCCTGGGATCAGCGGCCTAAGCCTTGCCTGGCCCCTCCGGGTTGCTGTCAATAAGTATCCAATTAGGCTCAGGCGGCCTAAGCCTTACCTGGCCCCTCTTACCGTTCAGAGTTCCCATTTCTGTGGAGCTCCTCAGAGCCTCTTTTCAACTCGCCCCCTCCTGGGGTTCCTATCAATAATAGGCACCCGCTCCCGGGCTTCTCTCAATACGTGCCCTCACCAGGGCTTCTCTCAATACGTGCCCTCTCGTGGGGCTTCCCTCTAGTTTGCGCCCACTCTTGGGCTTCCCTCCGCCCTCTCTGGGGCTTGTCCCGCGCTTCTCGCGCCCTCACCCTCTCTGGGGCTTGTCCCACGCTTCTCGCGCCCTCACCCTCTCTGGGGCTTGTCCCACGCTTCTCGCGCCCTCACCCTCTCTGGGGCTTGTCCCACGCTTCTCGCGCCCTCACCCTCTCTGGGGCTTGTCCCACGCTTCTCGCGCCCTCACCCTCTCTGGGGCTTGTCCCACGCTTCTCGCGCCCTCACCCTCTCTGGGGCTTGTCCCACGCTTCTCGCGCCCTCACCCTCTCTGGGGCTTGTCCCACGCTTCTCGCGCCCTCACCCTCTCTGGGGCTTGTCCCACGCTTCTCGCGCCCTCACCCTCTCTGG